GGTTCTCAAAAGCCTCGGTTTGCATTTTAATCAGTTGAGCAACACACTTGACACATGTTTCTGTGTGGACATGGTGTTAAGAATCTGGGGGTCCTTTGACTTGTTTCTGTGTGGACATGGTGTAACGGAATCTGGGGGTCCTTTGACTTGAAGGCAGATGGGCTCTCACGTCTAACCAAAGCTTGTCTAACACAGCTATATCCTTCATAGGACACATCACAGACTTGTGCTTAGGGACAGCACCTCAGCCCTGTGCCTGAAGCAGAAAACTCAACAAGAAAATAACAAAAATAAAAATAAAGAAAAACCCTGGGACTTTAACAGCATATAGCATATCACTTCATAATGTGGAAGTATAGAGAGGACTACTTCATTTCAATTTAGTATTTTTTCTTATTGTTCTGTATGTTTCAACGAAAGAATTTTGAAGGTTCCGTGAGCACAGATGTTGTATTTACAAATGCATTTGTCAAATAGTCAAATCATCTAGATTTAAAAGGATTTATGTGTTATCCTTAATGTGACCTCAAATATTTACTGCATGGCCTTGCATAGACACAGAAACAGCTCTGGTTTTCTAAAAATCTGATAATTTAGAACTTTAGTGTAACCTTGGATCTGAAAATGTTAGGCAGGGGACTATAAGACCTTTTTTACCTGGACAATGTTTGAGGAATGATGTGAATGCTGTATCTTTTGCAATTATGGTGGCCACACTGCCACTTGCCCAAGTTAATGTGACTATTCATATTTCATCTCAAAAAACGTTTATCATGTAGTGCAACTTGGATAAAATCCATGTAACTCAGCAGCTCTCGGAAATAAAGCAGGGAACAGAGAGATCTGGAAGGGGCTCCAGAGCCATGAAAGTGTCTTTGTTTCTCAACTGTTGAAGAACACTGCTTTCTCTTTTTAGACTTATTTTCATCGTTTGAGAAAAATAGTGAACCACCCTACGTATCGACTAATACCCCCAGGACATATGAAATCATTTAATACATAAAGGCACTAACTGAGCATTTACAGCTCAGACTTTGAGGTCTCACAAGGCATAACAACAGATCCCATTAGATCATCCTCAGTTCTACAAACAAACACGTGAGAAATTAAGTATTGTCAATCAGAAAGCATAACTTCTCTGGTTCAGTAGTAATATCTACAAAACTGAGGGTTATTATTAATAGTGGCATCACTTCCCTAGCCCTGATTCCAGAAAGTTTGAAACTGTTTATAGAACTCTTTATGTCTGCACACACAATAAAGACTTGGAAGCCGAAGTCTTTCATGAGTCAGTATTAATTAATGTTCCTATAGCTACAGCTGTTATTTGGTATTCCAGATAAGCATGGGGGAGAAATAGAGTTAATGGGCAATTCATTTTCAAATTATGCTATTTTTTACCCATCAATTTGCTTGGCAGCTGTATTCGGCTATTGTCAAGATTCTACCCCCGTGAGGTGACAATCTGCAACCCCCCTACGTGAGAAGATGTAAGTGCAAGCTAATTGCAAAGCCGTTTCATCCTCGATGACGTGATGAATTGAGAACTGAACATTGCTCTGTTGCTGTTGAGGATACGCTCTTACAGGAGATGCTCGGGCTCTGCAGAAACCAGTTCTGCTAATTCTTTACTTAACATTTGCCTGGTACTTAATCTCAGCCCACGTAGGCTGCTTGACAAAGTGTCAATGACTACGACAGTCAGAGAACGAGGGACTTTCAGAAAGACTTGGCATGCTGTGCCAAGTGTCAGTGTAAGAACAGTCCCTCAGACCCACAAAATAAAGGGGCATTGTCTCTGGAGATCTTAAGACCAATTTCAAAACTGACTCAAAGAGCATCTCCCTTTCAGGGAATTTCAGTGATATAATGTTTCTTCTGAGGAAACAAATGTCTGTTAAATTGTATAATATATGTTCACATGTATATAGACTTCAAACTGGCAACATGCTTTCTGATTTTTTTTAAAATTTATTCTTTGTGGACTGAGTAGGTGGATAAAGCATATCTTGATCGCATTCATCCCCCAACTCTTCCCTCCAACTCTTCCCAGATGAACCCCCAGTCCCTTTCACTAAAGTTTGTGTCCTCCTCTTCAGAAAAAAAAATAAATAACCCACTGATTTCAGCCAGCACTGTCAATATTTGCATGGGTGTATGGTCATCTCCTACCACATAGCATGCTCCTAAAAATGCCTATGTCTGCTTTCTTTAGCCACCATCAATTATGAATAGCACCTGAGCTAGGAGCTGGGGTTCCTGCGCGCTACCCATCCATGCTGGAATGCTTACCGGCTTGACCCATTGCAGGCCTCGAGTTCGTGAGTGCAATGGTCCTGTCACATTGGGAAGACACTGTTTCTCTCGTCATCCCTAACCTCTTACAAATTTCCCACACTCTGATCTGGAAATTTCCTGGAGACATTAGGAAACATTGTGTGATAGAGATGTCTAATTTACAACTGAACAATTCTCAAATACTTATTCTCTGCATTTTGATCGTTTGTGAGTATCTATTAACAAGTGTCCACTGAGGAAAAAAAAATACTGGAAAAGACATACCTGTTTAGAAGTAAGTTTGATACTAAGTCCTTTTGATGAAACTGTCAAGTTTCTATTGCTGGTCTTTAGCTCAGTACTGTCTTCGCCATGTCATTTGCTCCAACCCCAGTGTTTGGATTCAGCCACACGTTGTGGATTAGGAGTCCCATAGCTCTGAATGGCCCAGCTTCCTGAGACATGCCGCACATAATAGAATGCTCCCACTTCCCCTATTTAAACCCAGACGCCCTGCACATTCATACATGTGAAGGCTGTATTTCCAATAAAACAGTGATTTCATAATGACTCTGAAGGAAAAAAAAAAAAAAAACATGAAATGAGTTGGTTCAACTGTGCCGCTCTACAGAAATGCAAATTTTAACTTTTCAAATTTAAAACAGTGGAACTGGGATGATAGATGAGTGGCCATATTTCCCAGGCTCTGTATTCAATCCCTAGCAACAAGCAAATATGTTTACTCGTTCATAAAAAACCATTTTGAGGAGGTAATATTTTGCCTAACAAAAGAATATTTTAGTTCTGACATGATCTATTTTACTAAGTAATAAAACGAGTTTAAAATTGAAATAAATCACTGTAAAATTGTTAATTGCTTTGATGAAACTGAAACACAGTAGAGGCATACCTGAAATTGGTGGTATGATTCAACTGCCTAAATTTTGCCCTTAGCGATATTTGCATTTTATTAAAAATTAATTTATTCACTCCCACCCAGCTAGTCACATTATTATTGTATCAGAATGTCATCCAAGCATTGAAGACCAAGCTTTAAAAACTGCTGTGGATCTCTTTGTTTCTATTTTCTTGTATTTTAATATTTCTTTTCTCCTTTATCTGTATTAACATGATATTAAATACAAGAAGCTGAATAAAAGAAAATGTTCACTGTATGATAGTTGCTTCTCAGTCTTATTTCGTATAATAATTTTTTCTTTATTAATTTAAATACATTTTTAAATTTGTAATGTTTGCATATATGCCAAGTGTGTGCAGGATGTAAAAGCAGAGGCCAGCAGAGTGCAACAGATCCTTGGAGCTGGAGTTACAGGCTGTCGTGAGCTGACCACTGAGCCATCTCGCAAGCTCCACAAGAAACGTTTTATTTTATTTTATTTTATTTTTCAAGACAGGGTTTCATTCTAACTTTAGAGCCTGTCCTGGAACTCATGTGGTAGACCAAGCTGACCTCAAACTCATGGAAATCCACCTGTCTCTGACTCCCAAGTGCTGAGATTAAAGGTATGCACCACCTCTGCCTGGCTTTTTTATTTATTTTTAAGACCAAGTAGATTTTGTTTATTCAATACATTCTGATTATGATTTCTCTTTCCCCAGCTCTTACCAGATTCTCCCCACTTTCCATATACCCAAATCCATACTTTCTTTCGTTTTCATTAGAATACAACCTAGAAATCTAAATACAATTCTAGAAATAATAATAACAAAATCAGATAAAATGAAAATAAATAAACCATAAGATGACAAAAACTAACAAAGAAAAAGCTCAAGAAACACATAGAGATTCAGAGACATACATATTTCCACAGAGAAATCCCATAAAAACACAAAACTAGAAACCACAGTATATGTGCAAAGGACCTCTAATATTTATGAAAATCAGAGTCCTGACAAAGCATTATAAGACAAACAATCTCCAAAAATTCCATTGAGTTCATTTTGTGTTAGCCATCTAGTACTGGGCCTGAGCCTTGCCCTTAAGAGTGGCTTATATATGCAGTGAGACTCCATTGGAGGGAACTAATTGTTCATTTGCAAACAGTTATTAATTAGAGAAAGCTTCAGGGTTAGGGATGTGGGCTTTTGTCCAGTTCTTTCAGCTCTGGGACACCATCTGATTGCAGATACATGCAGGCCCTGTGCTTCTTACCTCAGTCTCTGGACGTTCATATGTTTATTGGTCCTGCTGTATTTACGTCTTTTTCCTTGGGGTCTTCCATATCCTCTGGCTCTTATAGTCTTTCCAGGTTCCCTAAACTGTATGTGGGATGGAAAGATTGATGAAGAAATCCCATTGAGGACTGAGTATTTCAGGGTCTCTCAATCTGTGTACATTGTCTAATTGTGGGTCTCTGTGTTTGTTCCTATTATAGAAGGATGCTTCTCTGCTGGTTGCTGAGAAAGACACTGATCAATGGAAACAGCAAAATACTGTTAGGAGTCATTTTACTGCTATGTTCCTTTGCAAAACAGTATCTGTTTTCCCCCCTAGGTCCCTGACATATGCAGGATCATGCTCTGGTCCACCCAAACAGCGTCAAACACAGGTACCATTTCTCGGGGTGGGCCTTGAAGCAAGTCAGATATTAGGTACTCCCATAAGCTTTGAGACACTATTGTCCAAGCGTATCTTACAGGCAGGTTACCATTGTTGATCAAAGGGTTTGTAACTCAGCTAGTGTTTGTCTTTGTCCTTTGGTAGTGTACAGATTTCCTTCTAATACCATGAACCCAAGTTGGAAGAAGGGAAGGATATTGGTAATCACCAGATCAACAACTACATGTTCAATAATTTAGGTAAGTGTTTTCTTTAGTAATAGGGCAGTACTGTAAGTTCATGGAGAGCAATTAACAAATTTGGCAATAGCATGTGCTGCTTGGTGGTGTTCATGGAGCCCTTTAGCCAAAAACTCAATTCTATATAATTCATTTAAAAAACTGGAAGCTTTGTTTCAAGAGGAGAGATGTCCATTTGGGGCACAATAGCCCCCAATAGATAGTGACCCCCACTTAGATCGACTTCATATATTTATATATTTTAGAAAGTATCTATTGTACCAGGTTTCCATACAACCCTCCAAATGATCCTTAGTTTTAGCTGCCCCTGTATTCCACACTTAAGCCTCTCCCCATTTGATTCTCCATTCCCAGTTTCCCTCCCTTCCATCCATAACCACCTGTTTCACTTCCCCTTCCAAGGATGATCCAGTCCTCATCCCCAGCTTCTTACTCTGTATCTAATCATCATGGTTACATGGATTGTAGCCTGCTTATTGAAGACTTAATAGCTAACATCCACATATAAGAGAATATATACCATATTTGTCTTCTTAGATCTAAGTTACCATACTCAGAATAATTTTTCTAATTCTGTCCATTTATAAGAAAATTTCATTTTTTAAATATCTGAGTAATAATCCATTATGCAAATGTAACAGATGTTTTAATGCATTTATCCATTGACAGACATTCAGGCTATTTCAGTTTTTGGTTATTATGAATATAGGAGCTATGTACACTATTGAGCAATGGTCTCTATAGTAGGATGTAGAGTCCTTTGTGTATATACCTAACCTAAGTGGTATAACTGCATTTTGAGGTAGATCTATTCCCAGATTTCTAAAAAAAAAAAAAAAAAAAAAAAAACACCACATTGGTTGCTGTCATGGTTGTACACGTTTGCACTCCCAACAGAAATCAAGGAGTGTTCCCCTTGCTATCCATCTTTTTCAGCATGAACTTGTTTTATTGGTCTTAGCCAGTTTGACAGGTATAAGACGACTTAGGATATTAAACATTTTCTTAAGTGTCTTTCATACATTTGCATTTCCTCTTTTCAGAATACTCTGTTTAGATCTGTGCCCCATTTTTTAAACTGGGCTATTTGTTTTCTTGATGCCCATTTTTTTTTTAGTTTGTTCTATATTTTAGGTATTATTCCTCTATTGGTTTTGTAGTTGGTAAAATTATTTTCTCATTCTGTAGCCTGCCACTTTGTCCTCAATGATTAAGTCTTTTGCCATAGTATCAAGAGGTCCCATTTATAATTGTTGGTCTTAGTGCCTGTGGAATTAGTATTCTGGATGGAAAGTCTTCTGTGCCAGTGAGTTCAATGCTCATCTCCACTTTCCCTTCTATCAGATTCTGTGTAGATGACCTCGTGTTGAGGTCTTTGATCCATCTGAAGTTGAATTTTCTGCACAGTGGTAAGTTTGAACTATTTGTATTCTTCCACATGCAGCCCTCCTTTTTGGCCAACACCATTTGTTGAAAATGCTGTTTATTTTTTTTTTCAAGTCTGTATTTCTGGCATCATTATAATAAAAAAAAACAGGTATCCCTTAGACTTGGACTTTTGTCTGTGCCTTCAATCAAATTCCGTTGGTCAGCATTTTTGCACCAAGATTATGTTGTTAATCTTACTATAGTTCTGTAATACAATTTGAGGTCAGGAACAGTTCTATGTCCAGCAATCCATTTATTATTCAGGAATTTCTAGCTATCTTGGAATTTTGTATTTGCATATGAAGCTACAATTTGTCCTTCCAAAATCCTTAGTGTTAGGATGTGTTTCTTTTTTTTTAAATATAATTTTTTATTGAAAAAAAATTTCCGCCTCCTCCCAGCCTCCCATTTCCCTCCCCGTCCCCCTTTTCCCCCCTCCTCCCTCTCCTCTCCCCCTCCCCCCACTCCTCTCCCCCTCCCTCTCCAGTCTGAAGGGCAGTCAGGGTTCCCTGCCCTGTGGAAAGTCCAAAGTCCTCCCCGCTCCATCCTGGTCTAGGAAGGAGGACATCCAAACTGGCTAGGCTCCCACAAAGCCAGAACATGAAGTAGGATCAAAACCCAGTGGCATTGTCCTTGGCTTCTCAGCAGCCCTCATTGTCAGCCATATTCAGAGAGTCCGGTTTTATCCCATGCTTTTTCAGTCGCAGTCCAGCTGGCCTTGGTGAGCTCACAATAGATCAGCCCCACTGTCTCCGTGGGTGGGTGCACCCCTCGTGGTCCTGACTTCTTTGCTCATATTTTCCCTCCTTCTGCTCCTCCTTGGGACATTGGGAGCTCAGTCCGGTGCTCCAGTGTGGGTCTCTGTCTCTATCTCCATCACCAGATGAAGGTTCTATGGTGATATGAAAGATATTCGTCAGTAATGCTATAGGATAGGGTCAGTTCAGGTTCCCTATCCTCAGCTTCCCAAGGGACTAACTGGGTACATCGCCTTGGGCTCCTGGGAGCCACTCTAGGTTCAAGTCTCTTGCCAACCCTAAGGTGGCTCTTTTAACTAAGATATGTGCTTCCCTACTCCCCTATCCAACCTTCCTTTATCCCAATCTTCCTGTTTCCCCAAATTCCCCCAATCCTCCCCTTCTTACTTTTCTCTCCCTGTCCCCCCTTATCCCCAACCCACCCTTCCCCCAAGATCCCAATTTTGTCCCTGGCAATTTTATCTACTTCGTTTAGCCAAGAGGATAACTATATGTTTTTTCTTGGGTTCACCTTCTTCTTTAGCTTCTTTAGGTTCACCAGGTATACACTCCGTGACCTTTATTTATGGCTAGAAACCAATTATGAGTGAATACATCCCATGTTCATCTTTTTGGGTCTGGGTTACCTCGCTCAGGATAGTGTTTTCTATTTCCATCCATTTGCATGCAAAATTCGAGAAGTCATTGTTTTTTACCGCAGCATAATACTCTAATGTGTATATGTTCCACACTTTCTTCATTCATTCTTCCATTGAAGGGCATCTAGGTTGTTTCCAGGTTCTGGCTATTACAAATAATACTGCTATGAACATAGTTGAACAAATGCTTTTGTCATATGATAGGGCATCTCTTGGGTATATTCCCAAGAGTGGTATTGCTGGGTCCAGGGGTAGGTTGATCCCGAATTTCCTGAGAAACCGAAACACTGATTTCCAAAGTGGTTGCACAAGACTGCATTCCCACCAGCAATGGATGAGGGTACCCCTTCCTCCACAGCCTCTCCAGCAAAGGCTATCATCGGTGTTTTTGATTTTAGCCATTCTGGCAGGTGTAAGATGATGTCTCAAAGTTGTTTTGATTTGCATTTCCCTGATCACTAAGGAGATTGAGCATGACCTTAAGTGTCTTTTGGCCATTTGAACTTCTTCTTTTGAGAATTCTCTGTTCAGTTCAGTGCCCCATTTTTTAATTGGGTTAATTAGCATTTTAAAGTCTAGTTTCTTGAGTTCTCTATATATTTTGGAGATCAGACCTTTGCCTGTTGCGGGGTTGGTGAAGATCTTCTCCCAGTCAGTAGGTTGCTTTTTTGTCTTAGTGACAGTGTCCTTTGCTTTACAGAAGCTTCTCAGCTTTAGTAGGTCCCATTTATTCAATGTTGCCCTTAATGTCTGTGCTGCTGGGGTTATACATAGGAAGCAATCTCCTGTGCCCATCTGTTGTAGAGTACTTCCCACTTTCTCTTCTATCAGGTTCAGTGTGTTCGGACTGATATTGAGGTCTTTGATCCATTTGGACTTGAGTTTTGTGCAAGGTGATAGATATGGGTCTATTTTCATTCTTCTTCAGGTTGACATCCAGTTGTGCCAGCACCATTTGTTGAAGATGTTTTCTTTCTTCCATTGTATACTTTTAGCTCCTTTATCGAAAATTAGGTGATCATATGTTTGTGGGTTAAAATTCGGGTCTTCTCTGCGATTCCATTGGTCGACTTCTCTGTTTTTATGCCAATACCACACTGTTTTCATTACTGTAGCTCTGTAATAGAGTTTGAAGTCAGGGATGGTAATGCCTCCAGAAGATCCTTTATTGTATAGGATTGTTTTGGCTATCCTGGGTTTTTGTTTTTCCATATAAAATTGATTATTGTACTCTCAAGATCTGTGAAGAATTTTGATGGGACCTTGATGGGAATTGCAGTGAATCTATAAATTGCCTTTGGTAGAATTGCCATTTTTACTATGTTGATCCTCTCAATCCAAGAGTAAGGGAGATCCTTCCATTTTCTGGTATCCTCTTAAATTTCTTTCTTCAATGCTTTAAAGTTCTTGTCAAATAGATCTTTCACTTCCTTGGTTAGAGTTACCCCCAAGATATTTTATGCTGTTTGTGGCTATTGTGAAAGGTGAAGCTTCTCTGATTTCCCTCTCTGATTCCATATCCTTTGTGTATAAGAGGGCGACTGATTTTTTGGAGTTGATCTTGTATTCTGCCACATTACTAAAGGTGTTTATCAGCTCTAAAAGTTCTTTGGTGGAGTTTTGGGGGTCACTTATGTACACTATCATATCATCTGCAAATAACGAAAGTTTAACTTCTTCCTTTCCAATTCGAATCCCCTTGATCCCCTTATGTTGTCTTATTGCTATTGCTAGAACTTCAAGCACTATATTGAAGAGGTATGGCGAGAGTGGACAGCCTTGTAGTGTTCCTGAGTTTAGTGGGATGGCTTTGAGTTTCTCTCTGTTTAATTTGATGTTAGCTGTCAGCTTGCTGTATATAGCTTTTATTATATTTAGGTATGACCTTTGTATCCCTAGTCTCTCCAAGACTTTTATCATAAAAGGATGTTGAATTTTGTCGAATGCTTTTTCAGCATCTAATGAAATGATCATATGTTTTTTTTTTCTGAAACTGAGTATTTTAAGAGTTGTGCAAGGACATCCTAAGAGCACCCCTTCCTGGAGTCATGGGAAGTCATAGACACCTGCTGCTATGTCCTCTACTGTAGGAAGGAAGGCAGGGCATCAAGACAGTAGACAGATATGTTGCACTCAAGGCATTGTAGGTGGTTATGAGAAGTTAAAGAAATGAAATGTTTGCAAGAAAAGGAGGGGCAGGGAACTGTTTGGAGTGATTGGTTGGGTTTGGTGAACAATATTCTTTTCTCTACTAAAATTGAAAAACCAACTAAAAGACAAAGCAGTTAGGCAGATAAAATACAACAAACTATTTTTTTTCTATGGAGGAAGCTAAGAAAGAAGATGACCTGGTGGGTAAATTAGTATCTTTATATTTCACTTTCAAATTAAAAATATCTGCCTACAAATTCACCATGAACTGACAGCATCGACCAGCTGCTTGGATCTGCTGCTAGGACAATGGAACAGAGAAATGAAACAAACACTGAGGCAGCTGCTTTCCAAAGCTAAGGACTAAGGGGAGGTTTGAGTTAGTCGAGCCTTTTTTGGACTCATCAATAAAATAAGTCAAAGTTAAGAGATGTGGAGATGAATCAGTCAATACTGACTTTGTTTGGGTCAATATGACACCCGATCAGACTTCAAACACTAACATAAAAGTCAGGTATAGTGACACACACCTGCAAGTCTAGCACTAGGGATCAGAGACAAGAATAGTCAAGGAACTCTGGGAATAGTTCTGTGTTGAAAGGAAAGGGTTATGGGAACACACAAAAAATGCAAACAGCGTTTCTACTTTCAGGAGATTGCAATCAATTCAACTGGACTGAACAACTGTTCAAAGGAAAGAAAATGAGTGGGAGGGGCTTGATGAATACAAAGAGAGAAAACAGTGTACTCAGAAACTCAACTCTTCCTTGACCCAACTGTCCTAGAGCAGAGCTTTTCGAAGCAGACCTGAGAGGATGTGCAGCACTAGGGAAGAAGGAAGGAGGCCGCTCACGCTTGTAGGCCCTGGCAGGTGGATCGGCACGTGCGTCTGTGCCTCTGTGTGCTTGAGAAGAACAATATTGGTGGAGAGCTCCCTGGAAGAGAGGAGGGCACTGATTGGGCTGAAGTCCTTGAACGCTTCCCATCTGTGGTTTTGGTTCAAGACACACAGAACGTTAGGGACTGAATGGTTGACTGCATGCTCACCCTTCCATTTCCTTCTAGGCTGTGGTATCTCCAATAGCCTAGGTTATGCTAATTACCAACCAAGTCATTCTCTTCTCATTGTAATTTAGGAAAGGAACAGTCCACTGTCAGCATAGAGCAAATGAAGCATAGAGCTCCAGTAAGGGGAGAAGTAGATCAGGTGGAGTGTGGTTTCCATGAGAAGTTCTGGCTGAGACTAAACCAGATCCCAGCATCAGCATGCTGATTGACAGTCAGACAGGGAAAGCATAGGGAAGTTTGGACAAGAAATGGAAAAAGGATTCTTCTGGGACAGAAAGATAATCCAGGCTGTCTAGATAGAGTTAAGAGATATCTGATAAGGAGTGAGATTTGGTGGGATGTTCTTAAATATACTCCACATTTAAA